ATAYYTWMRMAKMGRMMAWWKTKKYKAWRKAYCAGATCTGGAGAAYACGATGGATGCGGAATCAATTCGAAACGTAATTCATGGATTTTTACTATTTTTTACTGACTCTTGACACGGTGCATTGACTTGTTGAAACGTTACATTTTATCTTTAAATGCGGCCGCTCGACATTATGGAGCAGGTTCAACGTGTACAGCCCAGTCGGATGACTGTCGATTGAACTTCGAAGTGAAATGATGGAGCCATGTTTCAACCATTGTTACATAAMAACATACAAAATWCAGCTCGTCAAGAATTGAAGCYGTACRACCTTCACAAGCGACATCGCTTCACTAAATGATCTCTTGAAAAGTTCCAAGAAGAACCGACGTTTCAGCGATGAGAACTCGACGACATTTGGTTTCAACGCGACAGCGTTACTTCTCACACATCGCATCAATCAATGGGTTTATTGATAGAACACTTCGATTGGCCACCAAGATCGTGTAATATAACACCGTTAGACCTTTTTTCTGTGGGGATATGTAAAGTCTAATATCTATGTGGACAATCCCGCTTCGATTCAGTCATCGAAAATTGCACTCAACGGATGGACCATCGGAAATGTAGAAGTCGCAAATATTCGAAACTGATAATCTTTYAATAAYAAATGCTAAAAAATGTTCTTTCGAATTATAATAAAAATTCCCCATTAAATTTGAAGCTTTTGTTTTCTTAAGTGCGGAACCTCGAAATCGATCACTCTATATTTTTAAGGCTTTACAAAGCACTGCAGAATCAATTACGATCTTTGGATCAGCCATCAAACCCAACCTTTCATATTGTTTGCACAATTGTAACGGGTTTTTCAATAGTAGACGCCATATTTTTTGCCTCCCTTTTAACACTTCTATTCGGTTTATGCTTGCCATGAAAAGATATACGCTCCAACAGCGAGTCGAAATTATAAAAATTTACTAGCGATATTCGGAGGTACGAGTAGTGGCCTCAACTTTAAGAGTTACTTGCAAATTAAAAAAAAAAAAATCTATTTAATATAATTTTATTTGTATACATTTGTATTAAAAAAGAAGTATTGTTTCTAAGAGTAAATGAGATTTTCGTAAAAATTAAAGTATTAAGAAAATTAATTTTACAAAATTAGGACTCGAATATACAAACATACATGGTACTTATAATTAACTAAAATATGGGTTAGAAACATGAATAATTGTATTAGAATTTTTTTRTTTTTAAATAAATCTCAAAGCAATTTTTCAAAACGAGCTTACAACTAGAAATTCGTATAATTATATTTGGGTATATGCTAGAAATATTTGTTTTTTGTTTTTGGAATGCTTTAATATACAGAACTTGCTTAAAGTTAACTTCAAGTTAATATTGGCTTAACAATTTTCTTTGTATATAATAATATATGTATATACATATATTCGTCAGACTTTGAGTGAAATCCAATTTTTGTTATTTTAATTAGCAATGTACATATGTATCTACAGGCAAGCATACCCATTTTAGTCCATTATGAATGTATTTAAGAAATAAATTTTCAGTTTTTTTTTCATTTGTTCAAAATTAATTAATTTTAAATTAAAATAATGATTATTGTACCGTTTCATATTTATTTGCACRTTTACTGCGCTCTTTGGAGAATTGGTTTTCACAAAAATTTACCCTAAAAATCTAATAAAATTTGTCCTAAAATATAAGTACATACATTCATACAACTGGTGGTCATACTTATTGCACACATACACAACCACACTCACACAGGCATGTATATCATAAGTAAATGATAAAAATCCACTCTTTGGTTACGCTTTGCTGCTAATGCCACCAACTAAAGAACACTCTCCATTTGCAGCTCSCTCACTCCGACTTCACCACAGTGCCGCGTTCATATTTACGATCGTATTCATGCAATTCGAAGAGATTTTGTTGGTGCTGCAAGTTCAGCGCAATCGATTGGGCGTGTTGSTGGTGATGATGTTGCAACTCCAGCATCAGTTCGTCATCCTCCAAGGAGGGACTGCGACTGAGCGCCACATCTTGTGTAATCAAATGCGTGTTGTGGCTGTGGTGTTGTTGATGATTTGGACGATGTTGTTGCTCCATTTTGATGGYCGAATCGTGCAGCGGCAACAATTCACCGAAATTCGAATGCGTTGGCGATGCGGAACCAGCGGGACTTTGTGGCGCAATTGAGTGTTGTTGATGTTGTTGTTGTTGTTGTTGCTGCTGCAGGTATTGTTGGTGATAGTGCAGCGACATGTTGTCCAAATGCGCCTGTTGTTGGTCATGTTGCAGCTGATGCTGGTGCACCAAATGTTGAAATAGCTGTTGTTGTTGCTGTTGCTGGAGCTGCTGCTGCTGGTGCTGTTGCTGCTCCTGCATTGGTGACAATTGCTGCTGCAATGGCTGCTGTTGGTGATGCGTGGTTGGCGTCGTCGGTGTGGTTGGGGTAGTCGGCGTTGGTGGCATCGATACCGATGTGGAGGGGGACGAATGTGGCGGCATCAATTGCATAAGTTGCTGTGTCATCAATTGTTGTTGCTGTTGTTGGTGCCGCGGCGATTGTGCTGCATGCTGTTGTTGCATATTCTGCAATTGTTGCGTTTGGTGAGTCTGCAGTTGTTTCTGCATAAGATTTAACGTATTGTTGTTATTATTATTATTATTATTATTATTATTAGTATTGTTGTTGTTATATGAACGGTTATTGTTATTCAAATGCCCATTATGTGTCGGTGATGTATATGAGAACATTGTCGGTGAGTTTGCATGCGGCATTGGTGACATTTTCTGATTGTATGTTTGTTGTAACTGTTGTTGTTCTTGCATTGTAGCAACATTTTCCATCTGCGTTAAAGGTGATGATGGCAACAAGGCCATAAGTGGTGATTTCGTGTCTGTCGGTGAGATGCTGCCATCATTTGTTGTTGGTGACAAACGTGCTGTATGCGTCAATACAGTGTTGTTGTTGTTGTTATTGTTGCTTTGTGACTCTTGTTTCACTTGCATTTGTGGCGTTTGTGGCTGCAGTTGCAGTTGCTGTTGCTGTTGCAAGTTAGTTGTTAATTGTTTTAGTTCTGATTGTGTTTGAGTTATTTAGGTGAATGAGTACAGTTGATTAGATGAGCGTCACCACCGAGAGCGCAAATGCAACACAAACACATAGAAACATTGACAGGGAGTGCGTTATTAGAGCGATGATCGATGGGCGATGGGCGAGGGACGATGGACGATGTACAAGCGATGAGGCGCACATGTGAAAGAGAGGAAGAAGCAAAGGAGACAAAACAAAAACAATTAATTTYGCATGCTTTAACCAAAGAACCAATACAAGTAAAAGAGAAAATGTCGTTACACTTACCGTTATTGGCGACAGCCGCCGAATTGGCGTTCGCATTTGCTTTGCTGCTTTTGCTGGACTTTTCACCCTTGGCRCCCTTGGCTTTGCGCTTGCGTGTCTGCAATGCGATTTTGAAAGAAAAATTAGTATTTAGAAAAAAAAATTTAATAATTTTATATAATAGCCTACAAATTGAATTGTATATGCGAYTAAAGTATCTATTTGCACAGTTCTCTAATATTTTTGCTACCCAGAAATAAATGTCCGAGACCCTATAAAGTCTATATAAACATACATACATAATCAGCGTGATGAGCTGAGTTAATTAAGGTGAAATTTTGCACACAATATTTTCTTTTCAAGGCGCTGCTCTTTTGTTAGAATTGCAGACATCGRATTACTATAGCATATAGCTGCCATACAAACTGATCAATCCAAATCCATTCTTTGCATGGAAAACTTTCTTATTTGATAAGATATCATCAACAAATTTTGCATAGKTTATTTTCCGAGGCAATGGCATAATATCCGCGGAAATTATTTAGATCGGATGACTATAACATATAGATGTCATACAAGCTGATCAATCCAAATTCATGCTATGTATTGAAATCTTTCTTAATAGACAATATATCTTCAAGAAATTTGGTACAAACTATTTGCTAAGGCAATAACATAATCTCCCTAGAATTTATTGAGATCGGATGACTATATCATATAGCTGCCAAACAAACTAACCGATCAAAATCAATTTTTTTTTGTATGGGAAAGTATTTTATTTCACTAGATATCGTCACGAAATTTGGCACARATTATTATTCAAAGTCGCGCTGCCATCTCCGAAAAAAATGTTCAGATCGGATCACTATAGCATAAAGCTGCCGTACAAACTAACTGATCAAAATCAAGTTCTTATTTGGAAAAGCGGCCGAAGTTATTGTTTGTTATTATTATTATTATTATTTTTTTTTTTTTTTTGCTAAAAAATCAAACTTTTACTTAGATTTTCTCTAAAAGTTAAATTCTCTTTTCGTTTGGTTTGCAGCAAAACATGAAAGAGGCAATCGCCAGCTTACCTGTATAGTGTCCTTCTTCATGTTCAAGGGCCGCTTCACGCTATGCAATTTGAAGTACAGTCCGCAGGCATTGCAAACGGGCTCACCGCTGGGATTGCGGCGCCAGAGCGAGGTGTGTGTTGTGAGACAGTTCGAGCAGGAAAGACCAACACGACGGGATGCACTCTAAATATGAAAAGTGAAATTAGTAAAAGGAATAATATAAAGTATATACATATGTACATATATAMTCATAACAATTACTTTAATCAATGCATATATTAAACATTTGCAAATTATTAAAAATATTTAAATAAAATTTTGAACTAATTGTTCAAATTGTAATTTTATTTAAAGTTTTCAAAAAAAATTAATTTATGATATTTTTTTATTCTGTAAAAATATTGTTTCTTATATAAAATCTTTTAAATCATAAAAACCATGTTTCTTTATACAACAATCAAATTCTTAAAAAAAAAGTATTTCTTGTATAAAATCTTGTAATTAACAATAATAATTACTTTAGTAAAACCTTTAAAAAATTTTTTCCGTTATATTATCTTTTAAATCTTTCAAAAACATTTTGTTTGTAAAATCTTTTAATTCTTAAAAATTTATTATGTTTTTAAAACCTTTCAAATMCCAAAAATATTTGTTTCTTTATGAAAATCTTTTAAAATGTATAAAAATTATCTTCATTAAATCTTTCATGTCTTAAAGCGAAATTTTTGATAAAATATTTTCAATTTTAAAAACAATTTTTCTTTAATCAAATCTTTCAAATCTCAAAAAACAAAAAACAAATTAGTTATTAAATTCTTTGAATTAAGAAAAAGTTAATTTATTAAAAAACTTTGTTCTTAAAAAAAAAATTGTTGCTTTAAATATAAAATATTAGTTTCTTCATTAAAATATTTCAATTCGTA